CCGCGTTTCACAAGTAAAATGCAATTAGGAGCCATCGAACGTCGGTGGGGGTAGCGAGGCGACACAAAGTGGTGCACGTGGCGGAATTGCGGTGCAGCCGTCGATTGCGCAGGTGCGGGGGCGGGTGATCTCGTAGGGGCATCGAGAGGGGTGCAATTCGTGACGGGAATCGACGAGGAGACCCTCCTCAGGTCGAGACTTTTTTCGGGCGTTCCTGCGAATTTTCTCAGCTTCCACTTGTCCTTAACGACGTCTTTCTTTTGTCCCCATCGATCCTCTCGAATGCTCGCAAACGAGTTTTCCAATTTTCCATCTACGGTGCGCTGTTCAAAATGTTTATAAAATTCATGCACTTTTTGTACACGTGTCATACGTTGTATGCGTTTTCGTACACGTTCATTCATTATAATACAAACGCATAAATGAATTTATAATTTCTTAACATCACGTTAAAACTTCGTGAAGTTACTTGGGAGAATTAATACACATACGTTATAAACTTATGACACAATTTATACATTCGTTGGAAATATGTTATCAAATTAGTACTATTCTTTGTTTAATTTTCTTGACAATCTCCTTTTTTCCTTCCATGCTCGGGTAAATACTTTAATAAACCTTTTACACCGGGCCTCTTCGTAATATAAAATCCATAGATAGGAATTGACGGAAGAGTTAGAACTACAATATGCGTTTATTAGCAAGTGGAATACTTGATAAGCACTACACGGTACACATATGCAGATTGGATGGTGCATGAAAATCGCCCTATCTATCTGTCTTAACGACGACATTTAGAATCGTAAAACCTCCAATGGGATTCGCCGTTAGCGATGAAAATATTAAATGTACCTAAGTACCTAACGATTTTGTATCGAATCGTAAAACGTAGCTCCGACTTTTGACGACTTTATGGACTGCGTCTTATCGTCGTATCCCTCCTGGAACACGTTACTTGTCGAAGGGATTCTGTAGTCCTGAAATTTCGCAGAATTTCCTGCAGATTTCATTACGGAAAACCTACCCTCCGAAACAGAGAAATATAGAGAGACGAGTCCTCTTTTAGCGGTTCACCACCCCCGGCATTTATCTTAGAACAATAATCTCTGGAATTCTCTGCTAGGATCTTCTCCGCGTCTTATGGTGGGTGCTCTACGAGCATTTCAAAATTCCTCTCAAGTTATCCGCAGAATGGTATGACTGCAATAGGCATCTTCAAATGAAAAGAAAACAACTTGTATTATATTCTTATCAACCACGGCGCCGATTTCTCTCCTGTTTCCGCGGTTTCGAATTTCTGTTTAATTACGTACCTATCGTAAAACCGCGAGTCGTCTTTGGAAAGATCTTCAGGGACTAAAGTGATTCGATTTAGAGAGGGAAGGCAATGGGAGCAAAGTTAGCGGTGCCAGGACCTCGCATAGTAATTATTGAATTTTAGAAAAATTGAGCAATTGCGATGGAAGGGCACAACAAACAGTTCTAAACATTGATATTGCGCATACGATAATGATACGACAGAACTCGACCAAATCCACTGAAACAGTCGTGGAACCAAGCCAATTGATCCATTGAACAACTATAGATCCAAGACGTCCCAGTCAATCCAATAGAACAATCACTGAACCAAGTCGCCTGGTGCATCAATTGAAGCAACTATGATACAAAGACGCTTCAGTGAACCTATTGAAATAACCATGGAACCTGGTCATCTCAATGAATCTATTGGAACAACTGTGTAATCAAGCCACTCTGACGAATCTATTGAAGCAACCACAGAACTCAGCAACCTCAGCAAATCCTTTACAGCAATTATGGAACCATGACACCATAGAACCCAACTACCCCTCTGAATCCATGAGATCTGCCATATAAGCAAGCCATCCCATGGAATCCATTGGAACAACCATGGAACCGAAGTATCCAGCGAATTTCTGATAGAAACCCAAAGCCATTCTCAAGCAAATATAGTTGAAATCTAAGTGTATTCATTGGAACAATTATAGATCCAAGCTGTTTTAATGCATTCAATGGAACCAATGAACCAAATTGCTCTAGCGAATCCTCTAAAACAACCATGGAATCGAGCCGTACCAGCAAATCCATTGAAACAACCACGAAACCTGCCCAGTAAATCTATTGAAACAACTGTGTAATCAAGCATCTCCAACGAATTCAATGCAGCAACCATGGAACCATTTCCTTTCAAATTCAGTGGAACAACGATGGAGTCCCACTAACCCACTGGATTCACTAAAATAGCCAGGGAACCAAGTTATCCTATTGAACCCATTGGAAGAACCATGGAACCAAGCAGGCTCAGTGAATTTTCGGAAGAAGCGCAAAGCCATTCTCAAGCAAATATATTTGAAATCTAAGTGTATCTATTGGAACAATTATAGATTCAAGTCACCTCAGTGCATTCAATGGAACTAATGAACCAAAGTGCCCTAGTGAATCCATTGAAACAACCATGAAATCTAGCCATCCCAGTGAATATATTGAAACAACTGTGTAAACAAACAACCCTAATGAATTCAGTACAGCAACCATGGAACCTAGTCGCCCCAACAAATCCGGTGGAGCAGCTATGGAACCATTTCCTTTCGAATTTAATGGAACAACGATGAAACCGACCTATCCCACTAAATTCACTAAAATAGTCATGGTACCAGGTCACCCCATCGAATCCATTGGAACAACCATGGGATCACACTATCCCACTGAATCCACTAAAATAGCCATGGAACCAAGTCACCCCATCGAATTCATCGGAACAACCATGGAACCGCACTATCCCACTGAATCCACTAAAATAGCCATGGAACCAAGTCACCCCATCGAATCCATTTGAACAACCATGGAACCGAACTATCCCACTGAATCCACTAAAATAGCCATGGAACCAAGTCACCCCATCGAATTCATCCGAACGACCATGGAACCAAACCGCCCCTGTGAATTTTGAATTTTGTGAAAGAAGCGCAAACCCATTCTCGAGCAAATGCATGTGAAATCTAAGTGTATCAACGTCTATAAAAATGATACTATTTATCTACGTGTTAACCAAGTATGTCATCGGACCGTATAACACCAGATGTATACCTACTCCGTATTATCGGGTTTTTGTTAAACATGTCTCAAGTTGAACAACAATATTTAACTGGTACTACGAATAGTATTGAACTTATTTAAAACTTTATTACGCATACATCAATCGAGTTTGTAAGTTCCGTAAATTCCTGTTAGTTACAGAGCCCGCGAAGTCTGCGGAATTCATAAGAAAATCTCGGGAAGCTAAAAGCTCGGATTTTTATGAAACTTTGGGAGTTTTTAGGGAGAGTTGAGAAACGAGCGGGGTAATTCTTTTTTACGTGTGGAGGAGAACGACTGGGGAGCGCAGAATTGGACCCTAGATGCGGAATGCCTGTATATTTTTCCATATATTTCCATTGAAATATGTGGAGTCATTTCAAGATGGGTAATTATTCTTGCGAATGTACTTAGGGAGGCCTGTCAAGTAAAACCTGATATTCCCTGGTCGTTAAAAAATACGATTTTAAGGAGGGAGCCACTTACAAGGAATTGCAATTGTGGTATACTCGAGCTGATTGCCCAGGTAAAATTTAAACCGCTTTGCTTTTCATTTATATACGATCCCCGAAATTAGATTTGCATTTAAATCATTCCCAATTTAATGGCTTTCCGAATTATCAGAAAAAGGTACATACTTAGTGAACGAGTCTTGAAATTTCCTGAAAAGTCAATGAAGGGATGGTTTTCTATTTCTGAAAACGGCATTCGGGACCCAAAATGAATGTAACAGTTTTCAATGAAAGATCTGAAATAAATGGCTGAGCCATTGGAAATGTTTTAGTACCGCTTAAAAATTGGAATTGTTTCTTCTCCTTGAAATACCCCGAGGATTAAAAATGAAGAAAAACGCGAAATCCACGCGACACGAAACTTCCTGTTTTGCCATAAAACATTTGCGTGGCGAATAATCCGTTTAAGGGGTGAGAGGATTACATTACATGTAAGATATATAACATTCAGGGTATAATATTCATATTTTCTATTTTTCAGTTCTTATTATATCGTAAATCACCGTGCAGAAGTAGTCACACTTTTGTGCATAATTATTATTATAGATGATAAAACGAATTAAACCTTCCCACCATTTCAAGTTAGTTTCGTATCGCGAACCATAGTACAGAAGGAAGTGACATATATCCGTGTGTTATTCCAATAAATAATGAAGAATTAAATTTCATAAAACGTTAAAACTTGTTCTGCATCAGAACTCATTGCGCAGAAGTAAAGTCACTTATCTTCATGCATTATAATAAATAATGATACAAGTAGTTCCATTTCGGTTCCTCACGCACAAGGGTGCGTTAGATGTGCCCACCACCACTGCGCCAGACTACCCCTATTAATCATTTGTACATACCTGCAGCAAGTAATTCAAGGCAGTATATGAACTATTTATAAAGCCGCGATATCTCGTGTCAAGGAAGCGAAACACGCGACGAAACGGACGACTAAGAAAAATTGCGGAGCGAAATTCCCGTAATCACCTCTACTGATTAATTCCGCAAAAACGAGACATTTGCTTTCAAATTACCGTGCTACTTCATTGCAGCAGCTTATAGTTTATGAACACAGATCGATCATCGTATGCTACTTGTGATGGTGTTGGACAAATTCGCGTTCACAATAAAAGCTGCACTTACCATCGGACTGATGGGGACCGTATATGTTTAGGTAGAGGCCGTCTTCGCTTTGGTTCTTTAATAGCGATAACAGACTCTTGATGTACCCGTAAGAAAAGTTGTGGAGCGAAATGCCCGTAATCACCTCTACTGATTAATTCCGCAAAAACGAGACATTTGCTCTCAAATTACCGTGCTACTTCATTGCAGCGACTTATGGTTTGTGAATACAGCTACTTCATTACAGCGGTTTATGGTTTATGAACATAGATCGACCATCATATGCTACTTGTGATGGTGCTGGACAAATTCGCGTCCACAATAAAAGCTGCACTTACCATCCGACTGATTGGGAGCGTAGATGTTTAGGTAGAGGCAGTCTTCGCTTTGGTTCTTTAACAGCGGCAACAGTCTCTCGATGTACTCGTAATGGCCAGGCTTCACCTTGCTGTCCATTTTCGGCAGCAATTGCGGGCAAACGGGTGGAAATCTGTCCGCTCTTCGGACGTCAGACCAGGATTGAGGCGATCTTGGGGGCGCGAACCGGAAGGACCCAACAGGAGGCTCCGCATATGGTACTCCTGAAAGAAACGGATAAAGTGATCTATAAGATATAATATTAGTTCTCTAGAGTTTCTGGTGCTGTCACATGATATGAATTTGCAGGATGAACTTTTGTAACACCCCCATCATGAACGTCGTTAATTAACAAATACTCAATGGTAACACGTCCAACGCCAGTTTCGCCCACTTTACGCTCGATTCGACATTTCGGAATGGAGCTTTATCGCAACATTTTTATTCATGTTCCTCGCCATCAGAAATGAAACAATAAGAGGTTCAACGCATTTACAATATTAGTTTCCTAGAGTTTGCGGTGCTGTCACATGATATGAATTTGCAGGATGAACTTTTGTAACACCCCTATCATGAACGTCGTTAATTAACAAATACTCAATGGTAACACGTCCAACGCTAGTTTCGCCCAGTTTACGCTCGATTCGACATTTCGGAATGGAGCTTTATCGCAACATTCTTATTCATGTTCCTCGCCATCAGAAATGAAACAATAAGAGGTTCAATGCATTTACAATATTAGTTTCCTAGAGTTTGTGGTGCTGTCACATGATACGAATTTGCAGGATGAACTTTCGTAACACTCCTATCAAGAACGTCGTTAATTAACAAATACTCAATGGTAACACATCCAACGCTAGTTTCGCCCACTTTACGCTCGATTCAACATTTCGGAATGGAGCTTTTTCGCAACATTCTTATTCATGTTCCTCACTACCAGAAATGAAACAATAAGAAGTTCAACGCAAATTTCAGCCCATTAACGTCTCCACCACGACCACTGCGACTATCTAGCTTTACATAATAGGAGGAGCGAGGAGAAAAGGGACAAAGGGGACGTCTTTAAGAGAGCTCAAAGGAGGGAAAGAAAAACACGTAGTCGGATGAAAGTACAGCAAGGACACTTTCCTTCGCTTTCTCCGTTTTCGAGTTCCACCCCCTCCCGCTCTTCGGAGTCGGGAAACTCCACGAAGAGTGCCCACATGAGCATTCGAGATAAATGCGGCATCGATACCGAGGGAATTTCTTGGGCCTTCGGAATGCGAAAGAGTGCAGCTATGCGACTGGGGTGCAGGACGCGTCCATGGGAATGGGGTCGCTGCGCCAGGGAGGGAGATAGACGGAGAGGAAGACATCTATTTCTGAAATACACCAAACTCCTCCTTTTGGAACCTTTGACGTATCGAGATTCTCGAAGGCCGACAACCGAGAGGAACGCGAAAACGCCGCTTTAGAGGGAAAAAGCCGCAAGCGCTCATTCGTGGTTGCCTCGTGCCACCCAGGAAAATTCATAGGAGATGTCGCTTTACTTCCGCTTACGATTAAGCTCAAACGGCCAACCCGGTCTTCCTCTATTCCGTTTCTCTTTTCCTCCCCGCGCGTCTATGCATCTATGCATTTCGGGATATCCGTTCGAAACTATCCGCCGAGCAAGATAAACGCGATCGCGTTTTATCACCTTCGAAGGGGAACGTATACTCAACTCCGGTCTTCTTTGACCAACCGCGATGTTGGTTAAACATGGGATCAATAATTAATTCCACGTCGCTATTGCACCTATGTCTAGTTTGGATTTGGATTTGGAAAACGGTCGCTGCAGTCGGCGAAATTAAGCTTTCAAAAGCGGGGGACATGTACAAAATGGATCGGCTTTGTCAACCTTTGTTTGGATTTTTCGTCTCTTATGAATGGAACGTATGAAATGGACGAAATGATTGAATTTTTTAGCTTTCCGGGGCGATACATAACCTAAGGGAGATAGAGAATTCGTAATCCTTAATGGAAATCAGTTAAACAATTACAACAAATATGTAGGGCGTTCGTGGTATTGAAAAGCGAAATTTCTTAGCGTTAGAATACTTTGATAAAACACAGAACAATGTTATGTAACTATGAAAGTGAAATAAATTGCCTTTAGTAAGTGTTTCACTTTTCGTTACGCTCCGATGTCATAACATGCTACCACTCGTGAGATAGGAAGTTTTACTCCAACAATTATTATTGTAAAGTCGGCAACTGAAGTAACCTTTTCCTATTTTCATCTGTTTATAGGGAAATAGAGAATTCGTAATCCTTAATGGAAATCAGTTAAACAATTACAATAAATATGTAGGGCTTGCGTGGTATTGAAAAGCGAAATTTCTTAGCGTTAGGATACTTTGATAAAACACTGAACAGTGTTATGTTACTTTCAAAGTGAAATAAACTGCCTTTAGTAAGTGTTTCACTTTTCGTTACGCTCCGATGTCATAACATGCTACCACTCGTGAGACAGGAAGTTTCACTCCAATAAGTATTATTGAAAAGTCGACAACTTAAGTAACCTTTTCCTATTTTTATCTGTTTATAAATGAAGCAAAAGTTTCGAAGAAAGATAATTTCAGATCTAAGGCTCCACGGGGACCGGAAAAGAACGTTTCCTGCGTCCCCCTTAGTAATAAAAGGTACTCACCGAGAAAGACGTCCACCAGCTGCAAGTCGGGGACGACGTTAGGGCGAACAACGAGACCTCTCAGCTTTCCGTACATCACTTCCACGTATTTGTAAATTCTCTCTTCCCGATTGCGGTACTCCTTGTAGCCGAATCGAGCACGTGGACCGTACAAGTCCCTGTGCTCCGTGAGTATTTGTGTACACGCCAGCAGCACGAGACCCACTAATTGCAGCCTCAACATTTTGGACATTTATCTGCACTTGGATGACAACGCGACCACCACTTTAAGTTCGGACAAAAATTGCTAATTGTCCCCGCCACCGAGTTTTCGTACCTGCGAGTAATTGTCCGATTGTTCTTTTAACACTGGAAAATAGCACCGTACTGCATGTGTCTCATTTGCTGGACCGTAGAAGGTTTGGGTTGATCAACCGTAGGATGCACTTATTTCGGGACCAGGTTTGCAGATGCAGAAATTCTCGTGCACCTGTCTTGGATCTCATCAATGGCGAAAAAGGGATGTACTCGGGATCATTTCTTAGACATATCCCGGCCCTGGAATGCGCCTTGGCTTTCGTATAAATGGAGTAATTCGCTCTCGAAGTGTGCGTGCGTGTGTCTAATAATACAGTCGCAGAGTGAGAATTCGGAGCATTCGTGAGAAAGTCCCAACTTGCCGGCGGGGCTATGCGGGGAATGTTACCTCCGAGGAGGGATTTTCTTTTGGAATTTTCGGATCTCAGAGGGCGTATTTTTGGGCACTTTTGGATCTTAGATGGTACTATATTCTATGTTCCACGTTTCACGTTGGAAGTGTTTCCGAATGCACCGAGGATGACCAAACCTTTCTTCATCCGTTCAACTTTCCCTCTCGAAGTGTCACTCTTGAATTCAGGAAAATGTGGATCCTTTTGGTAATTGTTTTTAAAGCTCGGCTTTCAAAACATTTATTATTATTTTCAGTGTACCGAGGGTACAGAAATGCTTCGTACTTTGTAGGTAGAATTTCCTCCGCCTCGAGTTTTACGGTGTTCCTGAAACCTGGACGACGTGGATTACTTCGAGGCAATTGCTTCTCGCATTTGGAATCCAAGATGAGTTCTTGTCGTATACGTCCGTTCATCAGTCGACGAGACAATGTGGAGGGCAGAAGGGCTTTGCTGCTATTAATATGTCTCCGGAGTGCGAAGACGAAGTGCCTGCGAAAAAGCTCCGACTTTTGTCTCTTCAAGGTTCTCCTCTTAACACGAAATGGTAGAAACGAATCGTGCTCTTAGGAAATTTCTACTTTCGTCAGATCTCAAGGCCTATTAGGATTACCTCTCGGTAATCATATAATTACAGTAGGCTCTTACAGAATTCTATCTTGGCACTTTCTTGCCCAAAAGTGCAAGAAATGCAAGCATTAAAAAATCCCGAGTCTCCGACGAAGTCTACATCGGTATCCTCTGTATAATTTTCAAGTTCAGTCCAACTTCACTTTTCTCGACGTTGAAGTTCAATGTCTAGAACAGCACCTCGAGCGTACAATTAGCAAGTATTAAGATCTCCTGTGCCTCTAGGAAAGTCTATGTCATCTATTTTTGCATCATTTTGGTGAGAATGCGGTATCAGATTTCATTTTTCTTGATACGGTCCGATGTTCAAGTCCAAAAGCGCAAGTCGAGCGTGCAAGTACGCGTATGGTCCTTCTGTACCTCCTCTTTTCCGAAACCCGAGGGCGCACTCCTGACTTTTCGACAGCTCGTACCTTACTTCGGATGGGACCCTTTTTGCGTCGTTCCAACTTCCGGGAGCTCTTTGTATTCCCCGCAACCTCCGAATAGTCTCTTCTGCCCACTTTCCGAACTCGGGGCGCCCTCGAGCGGGCGATTTTCGAGACTTTAGGGCGCAACTTTCGGAAACTCCTTGGAACGTATACGGCACTTCGTCACACGAGGTTACACCGAAGTCGGTTGAAAATCTGGCTCCACTTGGAGTAACGCGACACCGGGGAGCAAATTGACGATACTTTCGGGAAGCCAGGAAGGGATATAGGCACCAGCACTAAACCCGCGCAGGAAGTTCCGCAACTTCCGGGCCCACTCGCTTTGACTTCTGACACTTCCGGCACGCACTCTCCCCCCAGCGGACTATCTTTGCCTACGCTAGAAATCCCGAGACGCCTTTTTTGGACACTTGGGGACTTTCGAAGCGACCCGAAACTTTCCTGGGGAACCGTTTGCTTTTCCTACACCGGAAGTCCCGTGCTCTACGGCGACGTTCGACTTCCTTCGCGAATTTCCGAGTCTTTTTCCCCCGTCTGTCAGTTCGTCACTTGACACCGCGAGGATGGCCGAGGGTCCAGGGCCACATCCATGTTTTCAGCTCCGACTTTATCGCTCGTACGGATATATAGCGGCTAAAAAGCGAAGACTTTCACGGTGTCCTCAGTGCGGAGGTATATTCTTAGCTGAGCAAACAAGGGTGAATGCACGTACGCATCATGGCCGCATCGCGGTACAGCGTCTCACGCAAATAGAACTTGTTGGTAAACTTCGGCTTCGTCTGGGTAAGCCCTACGCGAGAAGTCCCTGCTGCGAGCTCTCTTCCATCTTCTTGGGATTTATTGATTCGATCCTAAAATCACGACCCCGCGTTCAGGGAACCAAATATGCACAACTAAATATACGTGGTCGATGTGGGCCAATTGCACCAACCATGCTTAAGGTGAAGTGAAACACATCGAGGAACTTGATCGACGTCGATAGAGAAAAGTTTTCTAAATACCTTCGTTGCCGACGTTGGTTTTTATATTGACAGCTGGATCGAATTATATTGGGTATTGTACCAAATGGCATATTCCATCTATCGTTTTCCTACTATAATTATAAAGAAATCCAAGTAAAGCTCCAGAAGTCCTCGGGATTCATGCTTTCTGAGGCCCTAATTGACTGCAGAGGGACCCCCTGCGCCATCTGTGATTTCCAGGTCAATTAAATTTTCACTCCGAGATCCCGTATTCTCATCGTTTTAGCATAGAAGCGCATAAGATACTTTTTTTCCCTTTATCCCGTTCAAATGCGAGTTTATCGATTACCAGAGTGTTCTAAATTGTCGTAAACTTATCCTGACCCTTTCGTTTCTCATATCGGAGCTTTCAATATCTGTATATTGATCGAAATATGAGAGCTCGACGCCATTTTGATTCTGGTCTGGGCTAAGTTAAACATTTTTATGAAAAATCCAAATTTTTAATGTGTCAGGACAATTTTTAGATGATCACAAGACATGTGTCAAAGTTCCGGACAGTTTGGTCCAATACCCTTTAAAAAAAAGTGTTGTATTCGAATCGACTGATTTGAAAGGGGTTTTACTTCACCTTAACAACGAAGCATTGTCGGACTGTCCTCCCGACGCGTTTTCCCCTCCCCACTTCGAACAATTCATGTCGTTCCCACTGAATGGCACAATTGATTAGAGTATTAAAAATCAGGAATTCAGTGGAATCCTTGAGTTCAACAATATCTTTAAAATCATTTTATTGAAAGGATATATGAAGTATGCCATTAGATACATGTTGATAAACTCTAAGTTACGTTAATTTAGTAGAGATTAGATAACCGAGAAGTTGGCACTAACTGTAGCACAGTAGTGAAGTATGCCAACTGCTGTTGATACATTGAACTTAAGTTGCTTTGTGACTAATCTAAGCCACTTATAAATAGATCATTGTTTTTAGTCGGGTATTATTAAAGTGGAAGTTCGTTCACCGATTTTTTGCCCATTTCTTTCACTTCATCTCTCTTCCTTATCAACTTTTCAATAAGACATGTCCCACCGACATCCTAGTAATACAAATTGAAAATAACTGAAATAATTCCTCATACTTAGTAAAACTAAATGTATTAACCAATTCTGTACAAAATTGTCAAATCTCGAGTTAGTAGCAGAACTGTAATTGACACTAACATTTGGTCTATTCCTTGAAAACCGCACAACATCCAGTTTTATTCCGTTAATTCGAAAAAATTGAACAATTACTCATTATATGCAAGTCTTTTAATGTGTATCGTACTAGTTTAAGCAGAGATAAGTTTGATTAACCAAAAATTAATCAATTTACTTAGACGAACCAGATTACAAAATATACAGAGGAGCGTCTCGGCTGATCTTTTCTGTTAAATAAAACTCGTTACTTCCGAGATTTCGGATCCACGACCTACATTTGTTACCTACACTGGCGACTGTAATAAAATTCTTCGCTCGAATTACCAGGCTTGACTTTAGGAGTTGGACGAGTTTCAAAAATAGACGACCGTCGCTGCTGGGTAAACTTTATCCTCGCTTCCGGCAAGTTTGCGATTAGCAGCGCTTTAATTGGCCGTATTCCGATTCCGGACTTCGTTGGACTATCGATGGAGTCCTATATTGCAACATTATATTGTTTGCTTGATAACAAAATGAGGAAAAAGCCGGTATTATTTGAAAGTTAAGGTTGAGAGTAGTTACGATTCGCTTACGGAACAGCAGGGAACAAATAGTCCTCGTTCTGGGCTACAACTTTTTCCATTAATTTAAATAGGTATTTAAAAACCGAGAAAGAGCATCGACATTTATATACCGATTTTGTAGATTGCTGTAGCTATCAAGATGAGCCTCGCAGTATTTGAACGGTTAGGTTTACTCGCAAAGCTATTTAGATGGACAAGAATCACTTTGTCATCTTAAATCGTTGTGGTTCCTAATTTCATCCCAGTTTTGAATGCAGTCAATCGAATGATTTTGTTGAATGAACCAAATTTCTGTTCTGCGCGCGGTGTTCTGGATAACCAGTTTCAATGCAGTCAATCGAATAATTTTGTTGAATGAACCAAACTTTTTTTCTGCGTTCGACGTTCTGGATAACCATTTTCAATGCAGTCAATCAATCGATTTTGTTGATTGAACCAAATTTCTCTTCTGTGTGCGGTGTTCTGGATAACCGCTTCCAATGCAGTCAATAAAAAGATTTTCTTCAGTGAACCAAATTTCGGTTCTGCGTGCGGTGTTCTGGATAACCGCTTCGAATGCAGTCAATCAATCGATTTTGTTGAATGAACCAAATTTCTGTTCTGCGTGTGGTGTTCTGGATAACCGCTTCGAATGCAGTCAATCAAACGATTTTGTTGAATGAACCAAATTTCTGTTCTGCGTGTGGTGTTCTGGATAACCGCTTCGAATGCAGTCAATCAAACGATTTTGTTGAATAAACCAAATTTCTGTTCTGCGTGTGGTGTTCTGGATAACCGCTTCGAATGCAGTCAATCAAACGATTTTGTTGAATAAACCAAATTTCTGTTCTGCGTGTGGTGTTCTGGATAACCGCTTCGAATGCAGTCAATCAAACGATTTTGTTGAATGAACCAAATTTCTGTTCTGCGTGTGGTGTTCTGGATAACCGCTTCGAATG